GCCCGCAAACCTTTCTAACACCAACGATAATAGAATAGCGAACCGACTTCGCACATTTTTTCCCAGCTATATTTAAAAACTAAAAGCTTAGCTACTTACCTTAAACACTAGCACCTCTATTAACACCTTAATTGACTATACATATACATACTCGCGGCTCGCACAAACCGTTATAAAATCACTTTAAAACCCCTCTGCTAGGCGCTTCTTAGCCTAAATACGAAAAGAGCTTCAAGCCGCACGAAGCAATTGCATAGCACTTTAAAGGCAAATTTACGTTAAATCGCGGCTATTTATCCCCTAGGACGACAGCTTACGCACGTAAATCCTTTACAAAACATATAGCTCGGCCCCCGGCAGCCACCCCGGCAGGTATAAAACCTACGAATTGCTACGGCAGGAATATTTTTAGCTTAACTTGTCGAAAAATACCGCTACTTTCGTTAAAGGTTACTACTTATACTAATAAACAAAAACCTTAAAGTTGGCGCCCTAGGGCTTTTTCGAACCCTTACCGGTACCATTTTAACCCTAAACCGATATTTTTATCGACTATATAGACCTACTTTTATCTTGCTTAAAGCATAACTAAACGTTTAGCTACATCCTTATAGTTGTCGACCGGCTTATTAAATAACAGCATTACATCCTTATCGTAAATACGAAAGCTTCGTCTTTAGCTAATAGCTTCGTCGCTTAAGTTTACCAATTACATAAAACACCGTTTTATATTATATCTAACCAAAGTACCTAGTTCGTATTAACCTTTTAAAAAAAGCTAAGTTAACGCCTTAGCATAACCTTATCGCCGTTTACTGCGTTCCACCCAAAATCCGATAAGCAAACCGAAATCGTTAACGCAAGAATCAAATAATACTTGCGGGCATTTTGCAGCTTTTACTAAAACGACTAAGTTAACTAATTACCACTAAAAAAATTCGCCGCTAATAACCACGTTTTAAAAACTACAAAACTAACCTTGTTTTTTACTAATTATAGCTAACATCCTCGAATCGGTACTAAACCACAACCTGGACCGCCAATAGGCCTAACCTTACAGCAAGCACAAAAATTCCTTTAAGCTAATAACGTCGCAAGCTAAATCCAACGCGTAATAAATTAAGCTATGTCCTTTATGCAACAAGCATAAAACTAATACGCGTCCGATACAAACAAAAAACGCTTTAATGCACCCGCTTATTAGGTAAGTAACCACGTTTAAATCAGTATTAAATACCTGCGAAATAAACGACCCTTAGCCAAACTAACAAAAAAATAAATCGGGCCTTATGCGGTTACGAAAGTATACCGCTAAGCAGTCGCCGTAAACCTACCAAACTATTACTAAGCTTTTCCCGTGTTTTATATAAGCTTAGTCCGGTTAACAAAACCCGCCATGCCAAGCCAGCAAGCTATTAACGAAAAATATTGGCATTAAGCCGAAAGTATAACGCCAGAAAGTCCTTACGAAAACGAAAACCGCAAATAGTTTTTCGAAAAAATACTTAACTTTAAAATAAAAAACAGCACGTTACAGTATAAACTTAAATAGCCATTACTATACCGTCTAACGTAGCAAAATGCTATTACAGTTATAAGGTATATAAGGTATATAGCCGATTTTTATAGCCTGCACCCTAAAAAGCCCGGGCCTCCAAGCTAGTTTACATCACCTTATACACAAGCTAATACTATTACGCTTCGTCCTTTAACACTACAGCAAAATCCGCAAAAACACCTTCGATAAAGCCTTCGAAAGCAATATTAACTAAATTTACATTACGTTTACTACTTACGAAGAAACCGCGCTATACTAGCAAAAAAGGGCCATTCCAAGCATAATACCATTAAAAAAAAAAGCCTAACTTATAAAACATCAAAAAACTCTACTAACTCCAGCAAATAAAACTACCTTAAAACCAACCGGGCTACCGTTAACTTGCGATAAAATTCGAACCTATATCCAAAAGCTTACGCCTGCACTTTTACTAACTCAGTTACGCAAAAGCGGCAGGCCGCAATCGTTTTTACATCGAGACAGCCGAAAAAGGGGCCATTATCACAACCACATCGGCGCAATTAAAGTCGCCCGAACCTAAAACCTCCATTACCACAAACAAAACCTCGTCAAAAAAATAATGTTTTCCTAGGACCTAAGCAACTTAGCAAGGATCGCCGGGGCAAAAACGCAGCAGCTAGTAGTCGTTAAAAAAAGCAACCTCATCCTCGGTCGCGTTCTATTAGGGAGCCGGGACTTTAGCGAAAAAAAAAGCACAGCAGCTCGCTTTTATAGTTTAGTAAGGGCCGAAGTTCATTTAAAATGTTAATATATCAGCACAATCTCGTTTGCAAATCGGTTACGATTTCGATATATACTAACGTAGCCTTTTTAGCACCGGCTAAACTAAAGTGCTTGCGCACTTACTTTTCCGTATTTTTAAAACAAATAGCGAAACAGTAAGTAGCTTTAGCTACGTCGAGGCAAATGCGCTCGGAAAAAACAAACTTATCGTTAGCTAGGTTCTCTTCCTAAAATAAAGCGGCGAAATAAAAAAGCTTGTATAAGTTAGCAGCGTTTCCTGTTATAATGCTAACGGGCTAAATATCGAAACGTTAGCGAAACATATATTAAAACAAACATACCACCAAAAAAACTTACGGTTTTATAAAACGACTTACTGTCGTTACAGTAAGCGCAGCAAGTGCCTAAACTAGTAGCAAACCGGTAGTAAACAGCCAAAGGGACGAAGGCGCGGACGGCAGAGACCGCCTTACCGAAATCCAGGCAGACAGCACGAAAGCACGACATGCATAACTAAAAGCCAGCGAGCTAGGGAATAAAGCGGAGGCGAAGTTGCTACAATATTATAATAGGCGCGGCAAGGAGGCAAGGAGACTGTAGTATTAATTCGTAAAGCTAAAAAAACGTTTTTAGCTAGTAAGGCGCAAAAAAAAAGGAATCGGGATAAAGATGGGAAAGTATCGTAAAAGGGTCGGGCCGCAAAGCGGCTAAAAATAAACAATAGGCCAGCGCGCCTTAGGCGGTAAGGCCTAACAAAATGGCCGACTAGCACCCGAACCGGCCAAACAACACCATTATTTACAGCTGCGGTTAGCTGCAATTTAAGGACGGGGGTACTATTACGGTACCAAGTGACAGACGGCCCGATACAGGCCCGAACCGCCCGTGCGTTAACGACTACTAAAACCTTATCTCTATAAGCTAGCTTTGCACCTTTCTTTTAGCTCTTTATACAACAATAAAAGTTATACCTAGACCCTACCAGCAGTTAAACTGTAACACAAAAACGCCCACGGTATTGTGGGACATGACTTCGGTGCGGTCAGCTCAGCTATGGCGGCGTTGATACGACCAGATATCTTCAAGGCTACGGTGCAGCTGAGTCACCCTCACCATGCGCCACCGAGGCCCCGGCTAGGAAGTGAGGATGCAAAGGGGAAGATGGATATACAAGCCGAGTTAGCGAAATTGGATCCGCCACGAAAGCACTATAAGTGGTATAACTCAACAGCTACAGCAGCAGAAGACTGGAATTATCCGCCACAAGGACTCGAGAAGTTTCTCAGGGGTTATTTCCATCTGAAGTCTGCTGACTGGGGAATGAACAATCCTCGGCCCCTGGACAGATGGGGCGCAGAAGAATTAGCAGCTGTGCCTGAATATTACATCATGCGAAAGAACCGCACGATGCCAGAGACTGTCAGTGACAATATGGCTGGCGAAGATTATTCAAAGACCGAAACTTGGCTATCAAAAGACGACTTGGCAGCGTATTGCGAGGAGTGGGCGCGAACAGGGTTACAAGGGGCGCTGAATTGGTATCGTGCGCAAACGGCGTCGACACCTCAGTCAGCAAAGGATATGCTCTTGTTTGCAGGTAGGAAGATTGAGGTCCCCTGCGCATTTATCAGTGGGAAGTCGGATTGGGGTAACTACCAGCAGCCTGGTGCAATCGAGGGCTATGAGGACTCAGAGACTGTGAAAGAAGGCTGTTTTCGAGGTGCGTCATTGATCGAGGGCGCTGGACATTGGGTACAACAGGAGAAGCCGGACGCTGTCGTGGAGCACTTACTAAAATTCTTGCGGACTCTATGAAAGTAGCTCATGGGAGGCTAGGAGTCGTACTCCAGGCAGGCAATCATCTCTCATGTCGCGGCTCATAGATGTAGGCAGCAGTAATACTCTAGGACAAGTTGCCTGTATAATCAGAAGTTTTCAATGGAACTGGACAGCCCAACCGTACGAATCTTGAATCAGTTGGCAAGACTCTTTACAGAGGGAATGCCACAATGTGGTCACCCATGTGTATCATGAACATGGAGAAATTCGAGGAAGGCCCCAGAAGGTGTAGGGTCTATTTGGTTGCAATTTTATTGACCGGTCTGAGTGATTCAATATTTATCGCTCCGCATCCTTTGAGGACTTTTGAGGCCATTGGCTAGTTAAGAAATTTCTGTTCAAACACGGCCAAATGTAAAAACTGGATACGCAATGATCCATACCTGGCGGCTCGAAGATAACTAATAGAAACTCGAGCATTTCGCTTCATGCGTGTGTAGGCGGATGCATCCGGTGCAGAGGATGCATGTGATGTACAACGGATACCTTCCGGCTCGAAGAGGTCCAATCATAGGAGGAAGCGGCCTGCTAGTCAGCCTGACGGGAAGCCTTACCATGCAGATGGCATGCAGCTCGCCTCTATTGGGGGTATCTTTGTCATTTGTCATATACGAGTAAAATCAGAGCCATCTAATATTCAAGCTCGGCTCCCAGAATGCACTCGGATAAACGCTGCAAGAACCAGACTCCATTTACCTCCAGGCGCTCCTTACTGATTCGTTTGCTTCACTGATGTCATGTGTAGTGGCTGCCTGGCACCACCTAGCAACTGACCAATCGCCCCCCCAGTGCAATTGCCTTTTGACATAGGGCTCAATAGGCACAAAACTGCTCAACTACATTCCTGAATGTGGTAAAAGCCCAAATAGAGAAATGGTTAACTCGTCGGCCTCCTAAAAGGTAAAAAGCCGAAGATTCCCGGTTCGAGTCCGGGTTTGGGTGGTTTTTTCTTTCTCCTGCGTTTTGATTTCTCACCTACAGTATTTGTTTGATTTGACCCTTCACAACAGATACCATCTTTTTCGTTCCTTTGCATGAGAAACCTCAATCCTACATGGTACGCCCACTCACCTCAAGAAGCCATGACCCGTAGTGTAGTCTAAATCTTGGGAAGCCGCGCGTGGGCGTATGCCCTCGGAACCTTTCCCATGACTTCGAAGCTTTTTCAATAGTATGTAAGAGATTCTACGTTTCATCTTCAATCAGTCTCTTTTATTTCTTCCTTTTCTCAATGGAAGGCGCCATGAGAGACGTGGATAATGTTAGTGAATGCCGATTTGACCAAGTTCCGAAACAAAACTTACCAGGCCATGACTATCTTCTCATAATACCCCTTGTATCGACGATTCCAGATGCCACAGATCCGCTGGCTCGATCTCGTAACAAATAAGAAAAAGTCGTCGTATATTCAATCATCCCGCCTCTCAAAATCCAGACATGTGGTGCCTGTCTATTAATTATGCATGTCCACCAAGTCCCAGAGAAACAATCGGTACTCATGGTAGCAAAATCTTTCGCGACAGCATCACTAGAGCGTAAAAACCACAAGAGAACTTGATCTGGCAGTCGAAGCTTTGCACGGACTGCCGGCACCGGTCTGAAAGTAAACGCGTCCCTGTCTGGAATAGAAACTATTTGAAGCAAATGATCTGGGCATCAGTCAGTGAGTAGAAAGCATCATCGTGCTTAGCCCACTCCCTCCACCCAGGCGCCATCCTTTCAACCTCCTCCTGTGTGGCTAGGCCCAGCTCTAAAGCCTTCTGCTTGGTGTTGCCCGACTCGATCCGCTTGGCCATGTTCTCACCAGCCCATTCCCGCTGCTCGCGACCGGAGTAGGTAGTGACCGAAGCGGAACCCTCGATCTTGTCTGCCTCAAATCCAGCTTTTCGAGCGAACTCGCGCATGCGACACCCGTGCAAAACGACGCTCCGATGCAGCGATAGTTCGAGCATGAGATCGAGAGCTTCTCGCACACCCGGAATCTTCGGAAAGACGACTCGACTGTCCCACTCGGCTTCCTTCGCGCAGACGATGGCGCCGACCTTGCACACCCGCCGCATCTCGGAGAGACCCTTCAGCGGCCCTGGCTGCCCCTCGTGGCTTGGTAGGTGGACGAGGACCTGATGGCAGTGCACGAGGTCGAATGTGTTGTCCTCGAAGGGCAGGTTGAAGGCATCACCCAGCACAAACGTGACGTTAGCGATGCCACGCTCACGAGCCGTGCCCTTCGCTTTCTCGATGGCCATTTCGCCAGCGTCGAGCCCTGTGACGCTACCTTCAGGGACGCGGCTTGCAAGGTCCACCGTGATGGTACCCGGTCCGCAGCCGACATCTAGAATCTTCACTGTGAAGAGAGCGTCAGCTTTATTCCACTACGAATCTGGTTGTCGCTCTGTGGGGCTAGTCAATTGACGATAGTATTGGTACCGGTAGCTCCCATGTACATGACAGTTGACACTCGAGAAAGTCGCAAAAAAGAGCGGTCAGTCAGCGGATTCGAGTAGCTTACTGTCAGGTTTGATGCGGGGGAGTATATAGGATGCATGCGTTGCGGCGGTCCTGACAGAGTAGCTGTCGACCATTGCTGAATTGTACTTTCGGACGTCCATGTCTGCTAAGGTTGAGTCATTTACAGATTGACAATTCTAAGAACAGGCCTGCTAGATACAAGAATGTGTGTCCAAATAAATATTGGCATCCAATAGGGGTATGTATGATACATGTCCGTCAGAGACGTCAAGGGCTTTGCTACGCTTCATATGGGAACTTTTGTTTCAGCCGAAGCGGCTCCGAGAAGGCATCTGGATGCAGCACAGTATATTCACAGTGCGCTTCCGTCACTTCCGTCGCTTCCCTTCTAGAGCTGCAGCATTTTGTGGTATGAAACGAGGACCGTGCGTAATAGCAATTTGTACTGTGATTTCAGCAGCATTGTGAACTCCGCAGTAATTACTGTGAACTCCGCAACACGCAGTCACCAAAAAAGATAGACACAACACTGTGCAGTAAAAGGGGCCTCTTGGGCATCACTCTGGTATTTACCGAGAAAGGTAGGCAGAACTCGTATGATCCTCTGTCCCTTGTAACCCCACCTATCTCCGAATCATCCAGAATCTGACATGCTTCTTCACTGCGCGCCTTTGATACGCCAGGCTAGTGCCGACGAAAGGAAGTCTGCCCGGACATCATTTTTTGCATCTACTTATAGACTGTAAAGAACACAATATTATCAAGCGGTTGTAACTATCGTGTAAAGTTTGGATGCCCTCAAAGGAGAGCCACTATCCATTAGACCAACTATAAGGGTGTGGTACGATCGGGGGTTGCGGCTTTTTCAATTAAGAGAAACCCTGGCATGAACCTTTCATTTTTAGGTCTTCGGTCAAGATATATTGTACAACCGAATTCTAGATTAAACGCAAACGTCAGGAGAACATCGACTGATGGTGCGGGTAACCTACGAAGATGCCGTCATGGCGATGTAGTTCTCACCCGACGTCAATTAACTATATTTAACTCCCTGAACAGGTAATGAAACAAAATCTGGATCATCCCTGAGCACCAAGACGAGTTCAGCTGCTCCAATCTTTTAGGTGGAAGAGATTCTCCCTAAGTTTGGCACAAGAAGGACGTTCAGAAGGCTTCGACGTTTCTTCTAGATTCTTTTCGTCAAGTGACGGGAGTCTTCGACAGGTAATCACGTCAATTCAACGTCAGCTGATTAGAAAAGGCATTGGGATGTGAAAGAAGCACAATATACTAGGCACGTAAACTGCTCGATCCAAGGTTGTTCGTCTTTCCTTGCTAGAATAAGCTCAACACCTAACCATGGACTGAATCACTCTGAACGCTATCATGCTATCACTTCAGGCGGTGGCGTGTGAAATCAGATTATTACCAGTTCAACGACCGTTGTAGATTACTCAAGTAGAGGCGAGCTGTGCTAGATAAGCTAAGCTTACCGGGTTCACTCACAGAGGTCAATTTATCTTCTTAGCAAGCCGTAGGGAGCTTCGCCGTCGAGCTGCTAGGAATATGACCCGGCTTTGCAGATGACGAGTCTCATGTGATTCTGAAACTACATTTCGAGGCTATTGTTTGGGGTTGCGCTTCATACCCTCTACATAAATGAACCTGTTCTTGTCCATCGCTACGAAATTGAGGCAAATGCAGCATTAGCTTGATATTACCAACTGCATGCGTCGTATCACGACGTGCTCAGTTGGCTATGGCGTCAAGATTTACTCCCCACCTTGTTGATATAGTATTGGAATCTTTACGTATGAACGGGACACTGATGTTCATAGTTCAATATGGCATATCAGAGTTCAAAGAATTCAAAGCTTGACCCTGGAGTATCATGCTGTGCAATAATTTCTATAGTTCGCCACCATCATCGATAAGCCCCAGATCAATCATCTTTTGCACAATCATATGCTCTATGGCCTGCATTCCTGCAGCATTGGGGTGGTAGGGCACACCAGACAAAACGGAAATGCCCTGGAAATCGGAAACCCACGGAGTTTCCGAGCCAACCCCGTGCCCTGTACTCAAGCGACCAGCCTCTACGATGTGGCACCACCCCTCCCGCCCTTCTACTGCCTGTGCAGTGCCGTTCAGTAGCATCTCAGCTACATGGCGATGATGTGCGGTCCTGTCACCGTCGAAGGGCGCATGTCGCCCCGGGATGAAGTCATCGCCCAACAGGGTGAGATACTCAATGACGAGCACGGCGGCATGCGGCGCGGCATCGTGAATCACATCCAGGACCACTGCATACCGCCGCGCCAGCGCCTCGGCAGACTTCAGCTCCTGCAGGCGCGGTGCCCATCGCTCCTCCTCGCCCTCCGCATCCCAGGCGACCCAGCCGGCGGCGGCAGACTCGCGCATGAGCCCGCCGATGTAGTCTAGGTCGTTGCCGCCGCCCAGGACTAGGACGAGGTCCGCGTCGGAGGGCAGATCGTCGATCTGCGGCGCGTACACGCGGCCCTGCCAGTGCTGGGGCTCCGAAATCAGGTTCAGCAGCGTAGCGCCCGACACGCTCAGATCGGTCAGGTTGACCGGACCGGCGTTCCCGTTGTTGGAAGTGTTCAGGGCCGTCGTGAGCAGCCGCGCATAATTAACGCCCGACTGGCCCGCGACGGGCTCAACCTGCGGCGGGATGCCCGGCCCGGCGGCAAAGGAGGAGCCGAGCGAGGCGATGTGCGTGATCTTTTTTCCGGGCCGGGACGGCTGCCGACCTATATCATCTCGTAGGAAGAGATCACCCAAGACCCATACGGTCAGGACGAGAAGGAGGGCGATGGCGATGGTGCGGAATATCCAGGAGTTCAGTTCTGCGCGTTGCTGGGAGGCGGCCTTGACGCGTGGGTCGGTTCGTTCGTCGTCGCGGCTCTCTTCGGCCGCTGTCCCATAATTACGCTGGATGGTGGCCGGATCAATATCCATGCTTCGACCTGTACTTGGTCAAAATGAAGTTACACTAGCAGACTCAGTCTCAAAAGAAGTAAAAGATAACCCGATGCATGGGAATGACTACCATAGCGCTCTGAAATGTACATTAAAATAATATTGAAGCCCCTCACCCCAACTCGAGAATCGGCGGCAGCACCAAGAACACATGCACATAAACGCCTTACGGACCTAAAGAGTGTACGTGAAGGTCTGTGCGCGTACCTATCCCTACGCTGGCAAGCCCCAAAGTCTTCCAAAAGCACGCTTGCGACCGAGGCGGACAACAGTCGAGACTCCAACCCAAGTTCTCGATTTGAACTTGATCCTTTCCCTTTGAATCCCTGAACGCTTATTAACACATGAGTTGCTTTTTGTGCACCAGAGTCCTACCTCACACATTTTCCTGCACTGGTGTGGCGGAGCCGCCCTAGTCAGTTGGCGTTGATGTGAGAATTATAGTTACTAATAACGGGCGGTACGACAATCCCTCCAATGGGTTTCAAGATCCAGCCCGGCTAGCGTAATGGTTAACGCGTTTGACTTCTAATCAAAAGATTGCGGGTTCGACTCCCGCGTCGGGTTCGCTTTTGCATTTCATCATTTTCTTTTGCTTAGCCTGTACTTTTCTTCCCCAGCTTCATATGATTTGTAGATACGGTATCAACAAGTGGAAACTCACAGCAAGCTCGGATACGGTACGCCTGGTAGTTCAATCTACAGCTATTTCCTACAATAATCGTGCTGCAAGAACAATCATGTTGATCATGAGCAATAAAAAATGGAATGGGTCGCATTGCCCCCACCACCAACAGCTACACTAACCCATGGTGAAAACATACCTGGGTACGCAACTTGCGAAACGTGCACCTGCAGAGCCATTTGACTCGGAATAGCACAAAGCCGGAGCTAGTCCGCCACATGGCTACCTACGTAATGCAGCATTGGCCACGATGATATGCCTCAACATTTCAATGGGAGATCGAACCGTGTTGCTGGTCAACCAACCAACTTGAGGCACCATTTCTCACACCAATGACAATGTAAGTTCCATGCCAGACTGTGCAAGTGACATAGTCTGATATATTGCAGGTCTAAGTTCTTGCCTACATTCAGCGATGTGTACAACCACTTCAAGCCTCTGCCCTACCCGGCAACAGACTGCACCGGCAAGACCGTGATCGTGACCGGTGCCAACACGGGCATCGGGCTGGAAGCTGCCCGGCACTTCACGCGCCTCAATGCCTCCAAGGTGATCTTGGGCTGCCGAAATGTCACCAAAGGCGAAGCAGCTAAGTCGTCGATCGAGGCCTCGACGAACCGCCTCGGCGTGGTCGAGGTATGGCCGGTAGACCTCGGCTCCTTCGACAGCGTCAAGGAGTTCTGCCGTCGCGCCGATGGACTGGAGCGACTCGACATCCTGCTCGAGAACGCCGGTATTTCTGCTGGGCTGGGCTTCGAGATGCTCGAGGGCCACGAGACGCACATCACCGTCAACGTGATCTCGACTTTCCTCATGGCGTTTATGCTGCTGCCGGCACTGCGACGTACCGGGAGCAAGTATAACACGGTGCCCCATCTGACCGTCGTCTCCTCGGGCGGACACTATTACACCGATCTGGAAGAGGTCCGGTCCGCCCCCAGTGTCTTCGACGAGCTGCGCAAGGACCACGACATGGCCATGCGGTACATGGTGTCGAAGATGCTGGTCGTGCTCGTGGTGCGCGAGCTCGCGACCCGGACGAGGGCCTCAGGCAAGCCGCAGGTCATCATCAATACCGTGAACCCTGGGTTCTGCCGGACGGAGCTTTGGCGCAATGCGCCTCTGGTGGTCAAAGCAGTCACGAGCTTCACAGCGCTTCTCGCCCGAAGCAGCGAGATGGGTTCGAGGACGACGTTCTGTGCGGGGGTAGCGGGTGAGGAGACCCACGGAAGGTACCTGCAGAACTGCGAGGTCTGGGATGAGAGTAAATGGGCTCAAAGTCCCCAGGGGTATGAAGTGCAGAAGAAAGTCTTCGCTGAGCTGGTGGACATCCTCGATGGAACACAGCCTCAGGTGTCTGAGAATATATAGCGCGAAAGATGATATAATAATGCAAAGGGAGAGCTAAGGGGATAGATACCGGGGCATGTTTGTTGTACAAAATGAAATATTCTGATATTATGTTTCGGCCATAATGCTTACCCAACTACCCCACTGGTCTCATTCAGCTCAATATATTCTTGGCGGTAACCCTCACTGTGACTTGCGTAGGTTTGCGAGTGCAGGCCTTGCAAGCTTGTCGTCCTCACAGCTTCAGTGATGTGAAAGAGTCAGGTACCTTTCTGTCCGCATATTTCGGGATAGACCAAGACTTATACTCCTGGTCAGGCCATACGCTTCGAGATGGAAATTTTGCGGTTCCAATTGAGCATGCACTTGCCGTAGATCAGTCTGACCGCCAACACGTCACACACAGGCGCTGGCCTGACGATCGTGACCATCGCTTACTCGGTTGTCGCAAGTGATAATACGATAGGAGAGATGTTAGTCTTGTTTGGCTCATCTCCCAGGGGTTTCGGGTACCCAAGTTTAGCGATGGCGGCCTTCAGGGGGAGTGTTCCAAATGCGAAAAAAGCCCATATAGCCTACTTGCGTTGCCAGATCATCTAAATTCTCCATATGACTGCTGCTGCGATGACCAGGACCACTAGGCGCCTGGTGATGTTGATGATCGACGCATGTATCGGCTTCATATTCGCTGCTAAAACGTCGAAGAGTCGTTTGCGCGTGAAACAAAGAGGTAGGTACTCGTACAAGCAGACTTGGATTTTGACTGTCTACTCTGTCCAAAGCTTAGAAAACTCGATGCAGGAAATACAGATATGTACCTGATTATATAATTTTGGCGGAAAAGGGTAAGTTCGGAATATACGACAAATATGAGAACACAAGTCACCAGCGACCACCTACAGAAACCCTACAAGACTTACCTTCGCAGGTAAGCGGGATAAACACTCATCAGCCGCCCACGGATCCCCTCCGCCGAACCCGCCAAACTCGCATCGTACAGCTCCCCCGTAACCTGCAGAAACGCTTCCAGCTCACCCACCGACTGTATCGTCCTCGCCTCGCGCTCCAGCGCGCGCATGCGCCCTGGCCCCGGATCCGGCACCGACTTACCCTTCACCAGCACCTCGTGGCACAGGAACGCCTCGATGCCGATGAGCTGCAGCATCTCGACCCACCACTCCGCGCCATGGTCGACCGGCAGGTCCCGCAGAGTCCGCATCAGCTCCGGGACATGGACGCGGGCCCGCTGCTCCTGGAGCATCTTGGCCCACTCGCACCAGATGTGCCCCCAGTCCAGGTCCGCATCGCCCCCCACGGCTTGGCTGTGCCAGCGGCGGTCGATGAGCAGCAGGAACGTCGATTGCACGGTGTCGTGTTCCACGAGGGGCGCGTCGCCGAACCAGAGGGCGGTGATGGCCTGTTCGATGCCGTGTTGCGTGGCCAGGAGACAGCTGGCGCACTCAGAGTCAGGGTGCAGCTCCCAGCTGTCGTCAAGCTTGGTCTGACTGTAGCTGTTCTTGCTGAGGTGCACCAGCCTTGGTAGCGGGTGGTTAGTGAGAGGGCAGCCACATGTGTAGGACCTACCTACCATAGCCTTTGTAGCCTTGAAGTGAGCTGGTTGGTGTACCTGGATTAGAGTAGACATGTTGAAGAATGAGTTCGATTGGGTGCTCCTGTTGTAACTCACCGGTCTCTGTGTGATTCTGACGAATGTTGGTGGTCAAGCCTGAGCTCGCAAGACCACCCTATTTAAAGAAACTTGAGCATGGATTCTCCATGGAAAGCCATTGTGCTTATATGTCAAAGAATTCAAAGAAAGCCTCCCCGAGATGGATGAATGAGTGACACAAGGAACCCCACGGACAATGGCCAGTATCATGCGCGACTTGGTTGCCATCCTTGCCTACGTGGGACTCCTGGTGCTGACAATGAAGCATGGTTGACAATGAGCGATGAACGGCTTAAAGAAGTGAATCATGCAAGAGTGTACATCTTTGGCAAATTAGCTGTCACTCTCAGAGATTGGTCGCTCGCAGCCATAGGATATCGCACTGAGATGTGTTGGTATCAAATGACTTCATATTGTATTTCTATTTAGGAAGCAAGATCTATCTTTTTGGTACGTTCGATATTTTGTTACCGAGCGCCATTGAGCCTCCAAGCTCGAAGTGGTAAGCTCTGGAGAATAAGGACCTTCTTTCGGATGTAAACCATGAAGGTTAGGAGACCAACGATGACACACAGAACATTCACGATGTAATAGCCATCGTGTTGTGTCTCGCACGTGCCGCCACCGTTGGTGCACCGCTCCCTCTCAGCTTGAACCGCGCATGAGAATGGCGAGGTCACAAGGTCGCCCTTTAGTTGTGCTTGGTTGAGTTTCTCAGTAGTTGGGTAGCACGTAGCTTGCGTGAAGTAATCGACGAGTCGGAGGACAAAATACTTGGGGAATGTTCCGCCTAGATTAGATACCCTATTCGCTGGTTAGTCTGGTTTCAGGGATATAAGATATTAGGAAACTCACGTCGCAAGAAGGGTCATGTAGGTGCCGCCAATGACGGGGTCTGCTACTTTGGCGTGGAATGCAGATACTGCGACGAACATGACTGTCTGTGTGAATGTTGAGAACACGTGTTCGCCGATGACTACAAGAAGGTACCATGAGGTAACACCACCAGCAGGGAAGATTGCAACGGTGAACTGGGCGAAGATGGCAGCAGCAAGGCGACCGACAAATCCCCAACACCACAGACGCATTGGCGTATACTTCTGCGACCAATTCCCCGCGTAGTAACCCACTCCAAGCTCGAACGGAAAGTCGATGAGCACAGTCAGTGCCATATTATCTTTGCCGAACCCTTTCTCGATCAGCTTCAGGTTTGTAACTCCGTCATTTGCCTGAAATCCGATTTTGGCAATAAGATGAACAATGATGATGGTCTGGATGTTCTTAAGCTTCAAGACGTCCCACATGATCTTGTAGACATCCCAAATGCCGTCTTCATTCCTGGTCTTCTCTTCTCTCTTCATCAAAGCGAGGCCGAGGGTGATGGCGAGGTAAGCCCAGCCCCAAAACGTGAGATATCCGCCCAAGCTCACAAGCCCTATATCCAAAGGTTGAGATCGGAAGTACTTATTGGCAAAATCCGGAGTGTTCAAGGCCAAGAAGACTGTGTACGACAGAAATTGACCCGCCGTGAGGCCAACTGTCTGGGCTGTCGAGGCATAGGAAACATTGCCAGGTGTCAGAAGGGTCAGCGCCCAGCCATCTACAGCGATATCTTGGGTGGCGCACATGAAGACCAGGAAAAACCACCAGCCAGTGAAATTCCAAACAGTTGGCCCGCCGGGTTTGCCCGTTGTCGCCATCAGATCTTCAATGACCGAACCCAGGTATAGCATACCTATTCCAGATAGTAGCTGGATGGGCAAGATCCAGCTCTTTCTCCTCCCGACCTTCGGGCTCCATACGGCATCGACAATGGGACTCCAGAACAGCTTCAGCGAGTAAGGAAACGAGGCCAGACTGAAA